GGAGGGGACTAGCAAGGACAAGAGGGCAGGTGAGGCCTGCTGTGCCACTAATGTCTCTATGGGAGCCCGTGAGGTGGGTGGGAGTAGCATCCCATGTGACAGACAACGAAACGGAGGACAGAGGCTGAGTAACTTGCCCACAGTGACCCCCCCTGACAGTGGTGGAGCTGGGATTCCAACCTAGGCTGTCTCGCTCCCAAGGCACCATGCCATGCAGGTGAGACTCCACGTCTGCTGACCATCCTATAGAACTTAACGTAGAATTTCAGAATGGAAATGACTTCTTGGCAACGGTAAATGGAGAGGAGGTGCCCAGGCCTGGGTTGTCAACTCACTCAGCAAGTTCTTCTCAGTGAGACCTAGCCACGCCACCCAGGTCTTCAGAAGCTTCGTTTCCACAGTCCGTACAACACAGATAATTTCTAACTTTAGGGTTGATTATAAAAATGCTATCTGTAAAGTGTGTAGGAGAGTTCCTGGCATTTGATATTCAATAGCTGCATCTGTTCACTGTTTTTTTTTTCCCCAGAGTTTTTAATTATAGTAGTAAGGGGGTTGGGAGGAGATGAGGCTTGACTAAAGGTCGTCACAGTATTTGTAACAGGGGCTGGGAGGAGAAGTATTTGAAAAAAAATCTTTTTTTCTTTTATGCCAATTATGAACCATTTACGCTGTGAGGAGCTTGAAAAACCAAGGGCTTTAAACACTTAGCTGTGGAAAATTTTTAGATTAATTTTTTAAAGAATTCACACATTAGAATCGAACATATTTAAGGAGGTACACAGTGATGTTTTGATGCAATTTATAATGATCAGATCAGGGTTGTCAGCCTATCCATCCTCTCAAACATTTGTCTTTTCTTTGTGTTGGGAACATTCAGTGTCCTCTTCCAGCCATTCGCAGGTGCATATTCCGTTCACTGTAGTTGTCCTCGTGCTATAGAACTTACTCCTCCGGTCTAGCTTTAGTTTTAAGTCCTTTAACAAGTCCCTCCCTTCCCCCCCACCCTCCCACCTCTGGTAACCTCTGTTCTACTTCTTACTTCTATGAGTAAGCTAGTGCAGCCACGGTGGAGACAGTGACCAGCGTGGGGGTTCCCCAAAACTACAAATAAGAGCTGCCATATGCTCCAGCAGCCCCACTACTGGGTGTCTATCCCAAGGAAACATTTTGTTTTAAAGGTTCTTGGTTTAAGGAAAATGAAATCTGATGGGTCGGGGAGACTTACGAAGTCTCTCTTGTTAATTGCTGGGTTCCAACTTGGACAGGAATTGGATTTGCTACTGGGTCCGCTGTGTTCAGTGTCCAGGCATGTACTGTAGGGGGCGCTGCTCAGATGGGGTCTACAGAATGTAGTTACTTGTCCATAATGAGATAAAGATAGAAATGAAGAAGAAAGTGTAGAAACTTTAAGAATAATTTGACAGCATTTGTTCTAATAAAAAATTGAGTTTTATTTAACATACCTCTTAAAATTCATTTTCCTGGGATGTTTTTAGTGAATTTCACAAATGTCAGTCCCTTGGATGAGTTAGAAATAACAATTTTAAAACGTCCTGAGTACTGCTTTCAAGGGTTCGGAGACAGCCGCAGCTCCGGGCCAGCTGTGGTTGGTGGTGAGTGAGTTGCATGTGGTTCCAGCCGCTCTGATCAGGTAACTCTAGGCACCTGAACAGCATGGGCTCCGAGGAGTAGTTATTTACAAAGGTTGCCAGGTTCCTCAGTGGAGACTCTGCTCCAAGAGCTTCCTTCTGGAACTGCTCTAAGAGGAGAGACCACTCTTGTTTTGACTGGAGCCCTGCACGAGGGGCATCTAAGCACTTGGAACGCTGGCGATGCTTTTGCATTATTCAGTGTGAGGTGGGACGGTGATAATTTATTGCGGGCATCTGAGCAACAGTCATTGAGTTGGAAACGGATGATACTGATTTGAGTAGTAATTGCAACTAATCAAGTTTACTTGTAGAGGAAAAAAACAATAGCTCAAGAGGAAAGCAGTTGAAAAGATCCCTTTGCAATCTTAACTCATTGGAGACCGCTAATGGGAATTTACGTCATTCCAAATTCTGTTCCTGGTTGCCACTGATGTGAATTTACCTCATCGTGGAAGACTGTCTTTTTGGGTTTATAATCCAAATAAAAATACAAAGTACAGAATGATAGAGTGGTGTCTGAGGCAAATACTGGATATGTCTGCCACTTTCAGCTGTATTGTGAAAAAACGACAATTTAGAAAGACCATTTCATTTGTGCTTAACAACAGAAGTTTGCGGCAACCAACTTCAAATTTTTTTTATTTTTACCCGCTCTCAATATTAGGAAAGTGAAAAATTTCCCAGTTGTGAATGTGTCAAAATGAATTTTAGTGTCGAATATTACAAGTGTGGGTTTTTTGTTTTAGCAGTCACACTCTGGAGAGAGGGAGTCTCGTGAGGCTGGTGAGTGCTGGGGTCAGATAGGAGTGTGTGAGGTGAGGGCTTGGTCTGCACTTGACCTTTGGACCTGTCCTGCTGTGGACTGGAAGGGCATGGTTCTGCCCTCCGCTTCGGTTTTTATTTTTTGCTTTGTTTTCTATTTGTGAGCTTTGCCTTATATTCGCTTTACATTCTGCTTTGGTTTATAACATGGTTTTCAGCTTTTATGTTTCTGTAAAAATTCTAAAACAACTGCATATGAGTGAAATCCGTGTAGACACTGAGCCCGTCAGTTTTTTCTTGTAGCCTGATCAACAGTGGCACTTGGACTTCCTCCATCTTTTTAAAATGAGCATGACATCAGTGGAAGAAGAAGAGACAAGAGCTCTTTTGTTACCTGCTCGTGGCCATTTCTGAGGGGTTTCATTTTTCATCCAAATCTCCTGCCAGTTCTATTTCTAAATCAATTCCTGAGAAATGGAACCTAAGCTTGCACATTCACAAGCCTGGAATTTGCCGAAGTCTTCCTTAGCTCTTTATGTTTTCCCCATTATAAAAATGGAAAAGAAAGCACGTTTGAATTGCCCATAATACCACTATCCTAACACAGCTATTTTCATTATCACTCATTGTCTCCTTTCCTTATCCATACTCACACATTTTTTAAACAAAGGAATTTCGTTGCTTTTCAAGAAAGTTGTGCTACTTTATGTGTCACCAGCAGTGAATATAAGAGCACTAATGAAAATGTTGCAAAACTCAGTGTCAATATGTTTTTTCTATCGTAAGTATAAAAGGGATAAATATTTCAAGGATTTTGATATATCTTGTTAACAAGGATGTATCTCTTATTATAATCATTTTGGGAGGATGTGAATTACCCAAATTTTCTTTTGCGTCTGTATTTTAAATTTTTAAAGAAATTGGCCTGCCAGGCTTGATGGCTCACCTGTAATCCCAGCGCTTGGGGAGGCCGAGGTGAGTGGATTGCCTGAGCCCACGGGTTCGAGACCCGCCTGGGCAACTTGGCAAGACCTCATCTCTACAATAAATAAAAAAACTAGCCGGGTGTGGTAGCGTGCGCCTGTAGTTCCAGCTACTTGGAAGGCTGAAGCGGAAGGATCGCCGGAGCCCAGCAGGTCGAGGCTGCGGTGGCCGGAAGCGGCCACTGCCCTCCAGCCTGGGCAACAGAGTGAGACTCCAACTCAAAAAAAAAAAGAAAGAAAGAAATTGGCCATTAGTACTTGAGTCTGAATTTTTTGAGAAATAAAGGCGTTGTCACTCTGGGGCTAAAACAGACCCAAAAGCTTTTCTCAGTATTGTTCCCTCTTTACACAAAAAAGTACGCTCCCCTTTATTCAGAAGTATTTTTGTTTTTATATATAGGCATTCTTGAGCAGTAGCAAGTGAAAATTGTCTAAAGCAGCTAAGGCACTAAGTCCACAGGGAGAAAGTGTTAGTCATTGCAGGTGAGGGCATGAGTTGGCTCTGGCACTTGGCAAATCCAGTCAGGTCAAAATTTCCCCTGCCCTCCTACCCAGCTCTGCGGGCAGGAATGTCGCAGCAGCAGATTGCAAAGGACACATTGGCGTGGCTTGGGTACCAGCAGAAGGAGCCTGGATGTGTAATTCGTGATCCTTTCACTGTTGATTAATTGAATACTACAGTATACACTGTATATGCTAGTCTGTATCTGGTGTGGTGTACTATGGTCATTGAACTTCCATTCAGTGAAAAATGGAGGGCTTAGAGCTATTTGTATCCATATGGGTGAATTACAAACATAGAGCATTGAGCCAAAAAAACAAGGAGCAGAAGAATACATACATCTTGCTTTTTGCTTGTAGAACTTTTTTTTTTTTAACTACAAAAGAAACACAGAGGAATGGTAAGCACCAGTAAGGGGGAGGGAGAAAGAGACTGTCGGGAAGGGCCACACGGGTTCGGGTTCGAACTGTGGGTAGGTGGGTGTTTGGAATAGAACACCATGTAACTTTCTATGTGTCCAAAATATTTCATCATGAATTTCTTCTAGAGAGTTGACGACAAGCAACTGAGGGTAACTGATACTTTGTTTTAGTCATTCTTATGCTAATAGAATTCTTCCTTAGATATAACCGAAACTTTTTCTTTTTCACCTTGGTTTAAAAATGTTTTCTCCAGCCGGGCTCGGTGGCTCAGCCTGTAATCCCTTGCTTTGGGAGGCTGAGGTGAGTGGATTGCCTGAGCCCGCGGGTTCGAGACCCGCCTGGGCAGCGAGACCTCATCTCTACAATAAATCAAAAATTAGCTGGGCGTGGTAGCGCGTGCCTGTAGTTCAGCTACTTGGAAGGCTGAGGCGGAAGGATTGCCGGAGCCCAGCAGTCTGGGCGACAGAGTGAGACTCCAACTCAAAAAAAAAAAAAAATTTTTTTTCTCCCATTTATCCTCTGAAGAAATAGAGGAGATGCTTGCTCATGTTACCCCTCTATTTTATTCTCTATTTTATTCACTTGAGTAGTCACGTCGGTTGTTTTTAATGCATGTGGTGCTTTCTGAACTGTTCCCCATCCACTCCCTGAAGGTGTCACGCTCTCTTCCCCGCAGGTGTTCACAACGCTGTCTGTGACCAAGCGCTCAGGGGGAAGCATCCTCCAGGCCGGCTGCTGAGGTTAAGCCCCAGTGTGGATGCTCCCGCCAAGACTCCAGACCACCGACTTGTTCCCTTGCCCGAATCCAAGGCGAAGTTTCCAGGAAGATTCTTGGGCTCTTGGCCCTGCGTGTCCTGGACTTAGCACCACCCGCGGCCTCTTGGATCTCATGGGGAGGAGCTAGTGAATGGAAGGCAGGCAGCATCACACTGGGGTCACCGTGACGGACTCGGCACTGACGTCGGCGGTGCATCTGAGGGTGCGTCCATGAAGTCACTGGCCTCAAGCCCATGCGGTGGGCAGTGATGGAACCGCTGTCGAATCAGTTCCTGCATGACCTTTTTTCCTTTGTGGGTTTTCTTACACTCATTGTCAAATTTTCTAATGTTGATTTTTTTTTTCCTTTTTTCTCCTTTGTGTCAATAATAGAGATGAGAAACGTTAGCAGTTGATTTTTGTCCAAAAGCAAGTCATGGCTAGAGTGTCCAGACAAGGTGTGTTGTTGCCTGAAGGTTAGGTTGTCTCACTTGGGGGCTATGTGGGCTTGTACAGGGGGAGAACCATCCTGTGACCGGGGGACATTGACCTCATGAACCTGTTGAGACTTTCTCCTCTAAGGAGTCCTGTGTCCAGAACAAGCACATCTGTGAGCAACACTAGCTAAGTTTGCTCCAGTGCTCCATCTCGGGTCATCGGCATTCCCCTAGGGCTGCTGAGGGAGGAGCTGCTGCCGGGCCACTTATTGGAGGTAATTCTCCACTGTGTGGCTCCTGGGAGCATATCTCCCACCACTGTCCATCATGGAGGCAGGCGCACCCCCAATCGGGAAGGCAGCTGGAGTCTTCCTTGCCTTAGTTGATTGTGTGTTGGTCTAAGTGAGCGGACGGTGGCTACAGTGGGAAACACATCACTTGCTTAAATCTTTTTTGGGGTAGCTTATCTTTAAGCTAAAAACGCAAAGCATCACAGCTTTATTTTGTGTGTGTGTGTTAGGTTTCTGTTTCTTCCTAAGAACTACATTCATAGGAAAACAAGTTTGTTCCCACTTAGGATTTCCATCTTTTGTTGCTTTGTAAAGGAACCTATCAATATCGTAAGTTATTATTTTGAACACAGGTGGATGTGAAGGATTTTCATTTAAAAACCAAATGGTTTTGACTTTTTCTGTTAAACGAACAACCGTACCTGGTGGAATTTTTGCAGAAGTGTTTATTATCTGTCAGCATTCCAACTTGTATTATTATAAGGAGACTAACTCCTCGGTTAATGTCTTGCTGTGTGAACGTGCTGAGGACGCTGTTTCAGCCCATCTTTTCTCACTGAGTGGAGATGGGAACCAGCGGGCATCGGGCCTCCTGCCAGTGGTTCCTGCAGCTCCTCCTTCGTCCCCCTCCCCTGTCTGCTTCTCCGCCATGGTGCTGAGTGGTTGTGTCAGAGTACCTTTCCGGGCCACCTCAGGGAACCCATGTGTCTGCCTGGCATGTAGTCAGCAGGGGGCCCGACCCTGTCCCATAGGGCTGTGACGGAAATGGGAAAAGGGAAAGGGAGGGGGGCACGGAGGCGGTTGACTGTGTTCAGCTTTATTTATTTTTTTCAGTTTGTTTTTTTCTCCAAGTCTGCCAATCTGTGAAATAAGAGCAACTGGCAGCATGAGGTCATCATGCCTAGTCATGTTGTGATTCTCTCTCCATGGAATGGAATGTTCTGTCCCACAAGGATGACACTTTATAGACTTGCCCACTGTATGAAACACATACTGAAGTCCATGTATTTTTGTTACAAATCTTCTGGAAAAACAATCAAACATTAAAAAGTATGCCTATCCACCTGTGTGTCTTCTTCCTGAGGGATGGTCTCGGGATGCATGCCTGCTGGCGTGTTGACTACACACACTGGCTTCAGGTCGATGAGGACAGGCAGCTGCCGAGGGGCTTCTGCCGTGCTGTCGGCCCTGGGTGGCGTCTGCGGATGCTTACACTCAGGGCCGATGGCTGCTCCAGTTCCCTTTTTCAGCTTGTCCTGATGGGATGTGTCAGCCTTGCGGGTCACAAACCGCCCCGCGCCACCGAAGCTTCGTGCGTACAAGCCCGCATGACTCGTTTCCTTCCCCACACAGTGCCGTGAGGGTGTGTGTCCTCCCTCCTCCTGGCCTGGCCCACAGGTCTGTGTTTGGGGTACAGATGGACGAGTCACTGCCACTCCCCAGCCCTGGGCAGCATCGGGCACATAGGTATTCGGTAAGCATTCACAGAAATGCTGATTGTCGTGTTCACCCAGGGGACCCTAGGACACTTTGAGTCACCCTGCGTGGAGACTGCTGTATGCATCTGTCTCCACCACTAGGTAGCAAGGTTCCCACAGCCAGCACAAAGCCTGGCTACAGAGGCACTTAAAAGTTTGGTGTCATTTGATTGGCAGGTAGAGCCATACTGCTTGCATCAGGACCTATCAGATGGCCATACAGCCTGTCAGTTTCTTCCTGTTCTATCAGGATCCTCTGATTCAAGTGTTAATGAAAGTAGAAAGGGCCTAAACAGAAAAATGGTCAGCCTCACTAGTGAGGGAAAATGCAAATCAAACTGCAGTGAGATGCAATTTTTTTTAGGCGGTTAATTGTATGCGTCAACATGACCCGGGCTAAGGAGTGCACAGAGAGCTGGTAACATTTCTGGGTGTGCCCGTGGGGATGTTTTGAGAAGACATTAGCATCTGAATCAATAGTCAAGAAGTAAGCCCTTCCCCGTGCAGGTGGGCATCATCCAGTCCTTGACCCAGATCAAACAAAAAGCAGAAGGGTGAATTTGCTCTTTGTCTTTGAGCTGGGACATCCTTCTGTCCTCCAACCTGGGCTGGTCCTTGGGACTTTGGACTTGGACCAGGACTTAACACCATTGGCTCCCTGGTCTCAGGCCTTCAGGTTTGGTCTAGAACCACACCACTCACTTTCCCAGGGCTCCAGCTTGCAGATGGCACTGCGGGACTTCTCAGATTCCATGGTCTCGTGAGCCAATCCCTCCTAATAAATCTCTTTCTGTATTTTATATACACATATATGTATAAAACACTGATTCTGTTTCTGTGGAGAGCTCTGACTGGTACACCCACTATACTGCACGTTTTAAGAGTCTGGCGGTATCAGATGTTGGCAAAAATTTGGAGCAACTTAGAATGCTTATTTATTGCTGGTGGGTCTTATCATTTTTTAAGTTTCTAAACTCAAAAGGCCACTGCAAAGAAGCAGATGTGACTGCAGCACCTGTCCTGCCAATACACTCGATGGACACACTAATACATTGCCCTCTGGGCACGTGTTTGCCCCATAGGTCTCATGAGACTGGAAAGGAAGGTCAGCTCTTCCAAGTCCACTTACAGATGCAGAAACAGGCCTAGATAGGTGAGGCTACCTTGTCAACATCAAGGTCAAAGTTAAATAGTTTGGGCTTCCAGTGATGTGCTTTTCCACACCCACTCCTGCCATCGTCCTTTTGTAGAGTCCCCTGCACGCTTAAGCACACTCAACCCGCCAGTGCTCTCCTAATAGCCGTGAAGTGGAGGAGCGTGAAAGCAGGCACTGCTTCTGGAGAAGCAAGACAGACCGAAAGGCGCAGGAAGCAGTCAGAAGGGCGTCCCCAAGATGGCGCTGCCTCCCAAAGACAACAAAGGCCCAAGCTCCTGCTTTTTGTGCGAAACTTAAACCTGTGCTCAAACAACCTCTCCCTGTAGAAATGCTGCCTCATGGTCTCCTCCAATGGGACCCAGGCACGGCACAGGCCAGCCCCTGCAAGGTCCATAAATACACCTCTCTCTCTCTCTTCTCTCTTTCTCTCTCTTTCACTCTCTCGCTCTCTCCCCTTCTCACTCGCTCTCTCCTCTCTTGCTTTCTCTCCCCCTCTCTCTCCCTCTCTCTCTCGCTTTCTCTCTCTGTCCCCACCACTCTCTCGATGGCTCTCTCTCCCTCCCCTACCAGGCGGTTACAGACCCTCTTCCCTCTTTCTGTAGCCGCTGCTCTAATAAATCTCTTGGCCTCAAAGGGTGTTGTCTCGCTGCGCACCGCCGTCTTTCCCAGACCCTTGGCCCCGTGGTCCACATGCAGAGGGTAGCTGGGAAGACACACTGCAGGCCTGAAGCGGGACCTTGGACGTCCTTGCTGTTGGCTTCCTACGTGAATGATGGCGATCCCTCTTGCAGGCCAGGAAGAGGAAGTCGAATCTGCCTAATAATTGCAAAAGCAAACAACCTGGATAAGTGTTTGCTAAGTCCGTAGAGTCAAGGAAAAAAAGCATGGTATGTCTTCATGTCCAAGGCACAGTGGGATACAAAATGAGTAAACACACCTCACTCTAGGGTGAGTGTGGTCAGGGGAGGTGCATGGGTGTACAAAAAATTGTCGTTCCTTCATTTCCTCAACACACTGCACCAGGGACCGTTCCAGACCACAGAGCTCAGTGGTGAAGGTGATGTTTAAGTCTAGGGAGGCAGCGTTGGATGTGGTGACTCGCGTTCTAGGGTGAGACAGCGTTTGAGGGTAGAACCGAGAGAACTGACTGGGGTTGGCTGTGTGGTGGGAGAGAGAGGGGCAGGGATGTCTCCCACATCTGGACTTGATGAACTGGGAGAGCTGAAGACAGCCGGGTCATTTTAACGAGGTGGGAAAATCATGGGAGGAGCGGGTTTGGGGGGGTTATTGGGCACTTGATTTGGGGGTGCCGAGTTTGAGATGTTTATTAGACGTCTGAGGAGGCAGTTGGACATGAGTCTGGAGTTGCAGAAAGAAGTCCAGGATGGGGAGTTAAACGTCAGAGCTTCAGCCTATGAAGGGTGTTGAAAGTCGTGGGCGTGATGAGGCTCCCAGGACAGGAGTCAGGTAGAAAAGGGACCAGCTCTGCTAGGAACCTGCAACTGTCCCCGAGGAGAGACCCGCCCTAGAACCCAGCTGGTAACAGACTTCCTGGGCATCCCATCGTGATGAAGGCTGGCGGGGTCAGATCTGTAAATGTGGGGTGAGGGAAGGAATTCCTGGCAGACTACCAGACATCGTCCAGGCTGGTGGCGCGAGACGTGGAAACAGAAGAGAACGGGGGCGG